TTGCCTTCCCCGCAGCGTCCCCCTTACCTGGGCTCTCCCTGGTGGCTGGGGCCGACCTGGCAGGAGATGCCCGGATGGGCACGGCCCCCACTGGTGTTGCTCTAACAAGGTACACTCTCGTCGGAGAGGAGGCCGTGGAGGCTGACCTGGCGGACAATGACCTGCCGGATGCTGACCTGGAAGGGGATGCCCGGGCTGGAGACGTCCCTGCCGGGGAAGCATTCTGAAAACAGAATGAAGGGCATCCCTCAGGCTGCTCCCCTGAGAAGCTACTCCCCAGCTGTCAGCCCTGCTAAGCCGGCAGATAAATGCCCCAGGGCAAGTGGCCAGGGGTTGAGCAACTCCCCGCACCCCGCCCCCCACCACCACCACCCCCTGGCAGGGAAGCATCTGAGAAGAAGAGTGTCTCAGGATGGAGTGCAAGTTCAAAAACCCTCTCCCTACGCCCCTCTCCCATCACGGGAATCTACGGAGCGGGCAGAGGGCCGTGGGCCATCCGCTTGGGGCTTGGGGGCCCTTGCTTTGGCTACCTGGGTATAGGGACCCTCGCTCTGAGAGTCGCTCAGGGAGGTGTGGTCCCCGGTGGGGGAAGTAATCACTCTTTCGGCCCCTCTTCACTTCTCTCACCCCACACCCTGCCCCTGTCTTTTGTGGGCCCCAGATTGAGAAAACCACGTTCTTACTACGAGCTGTCATTGAAGAGTGTGGAAAGCACTCACTCAAGGAAAAACCCTGGCCTGCCTTGTAGCCCACCATTCTCAGTGACCCCAGAATTCTCTTTCACTCATGCACCTGCACCCCACCATATCTATATGCCACGGGCGATTCACCAGCGCGTCAGGGAAACGGGAGAGGCAAAGCCAGAAGAAGGTACAGGCTGGGGTAGGAGTCCATCCCTCTTGCACAAGATCCTCAACCCTATGCAGCTGCCGCTGGAGTCGTCTGCTCTAACGGACGGGGACAGAGGACTTCCTGTGCTCTCAGAGCTTTAGATGTATTCACTCACTTCACCCTCACAACAGCCCCGTCACCCCCATTTTGCACAAGGGAAACAGAAGCAGAGACACTAAGCAATGTGATCATGCCGTCATAGCTGGCGAGTGGCAGGGCCAGAGGGGGAGTCCAGAGAGTCAGGCTCGGTGGCCAACCCGACCACGAGGCTCTCCTGCCTCTCTGAGGAGGGACGAGGGTGACAGTGCAGCAGCTGGTCTTAGGAGGCCAGCCGTGAATGTGGGGCCTGTTCCTTCCTGGAAAGCGGAGCCTCTGGGGTGCTCTAAATCTAAGAGGGAGCGGGTGGGCAGTCCTGCAGGGCCCCCGGTCCCTGTCACCTCCCTCAGGCCCCTTGTACCCTCTCTACCTCTTAAGCCCCCTCCGGAAGTCCCCAGGGGCAGCAGGGGTAGCTGGGAATTGACCTGGCGCAGGGACCGCACCTGCCCCTCGTCCCAAGTTCTGCTGAGCACTGACTGGGCTGCTCAGGAAGGCAGCCCAGGAGAAGGAGTGGAAGGGGGCGGGGGGGGGTGGGCACAGTCGGCAGGGTTGTGTGGAGGGGACAGGCTTGGGACCGCTGGGACCCGTTCGCAACCCTCACCTGCCACCATGCTTAACATTTGTCATTAGTAAGCAAACCAGTTAAGAAAAAGTCCTCCTCGTTAGCACATCGGCCCAAAGCAACACCATCATCTCTACCCCGCAGGGGCTTCTTGTTTTCCTTTTTTAAAACTCCCTTTTCTAAGAGTCAGAGGTAATTGGTTTGGTCACTTCCTCGTTGTTCTCGAGGCTGTGAGATGAATTCAAGAAGGAATCTCCAGTCCCTGACCACACTCGGGCTTCCCTCGGGCAGGGACCAGGAGCCATTATCCCAGGGAGTTACTGGGGTTAATTAATGGATGTGGGTAAATACACGTGGACCCAGGTGGCCCCGCCAGCTGAGCAGGGACACACTTGTATGTGTTCCGGGACCCGAAGATGGGCTGCAGCCGACACCGCTGAACCAGAGCTCGGATTCAGACACTAGACTTCCATAAAATGAAGACAGGTGAGCCCCTAGACGCTCCAAGGGGAACAGGACTTGGGGTGGGGGAGGGGGCAAGGAGAGGCGCTGAGGATGTGTTGAAAATACAGCATGCGTCAGCTGACAGCCGATGGCTTCGGAGGCAGGCAGACCGGGGTCTCGATCCTGCAGCCAGCAGCGTGACTTCGGGCAAGCCACCGAACCTTTCTTTCTCTTAGTCTGTAGGATAGGACTAATGATGCTGAGGATTCAGTGAGATAAAATAGAAAATGTCTTGCCTGTATCTGGCACATGGGGGCTGGGCAGGAAACGACCATTTCTCTCTGCCTTCGCCTTGGCCCACACAGCACCCACCTGGATGAACGTCAACAGCCACGAGGCATGACCAAAGGGCCGAAAGGTGGCGGGAGCTCATCTTAGGGAGATAAAGGCCAGACGAAGGCCCTCCTAAGACCCAGACTGTTTAGAGCCCCGTGCCTCCCACCAGTGGTGGCCTAAGCCTTAACACCTGCCCGGGACCCTGGCACTGGGCAGCTCATCTGGCCTGCCAGGCTTCCTTCCCTGCTGTGCTCACACAATAAGCCTTCCCTACCCTTGGGGGCCAATTTCCATTACGTGAGACAATAAAATAATTAGGTCACAATGTAAAGCACTTTACAATCTACAAAAAGCTTCCATGTCTGTGAGCTCGTGAGGTCCTCACTCCTTCCCCCGAGAGTTTGGTGTTTTTAGAAGCCCATTTGACAGATAAGGAAACCAACGCCCAGAGCTCAGACTGGCCAGAATCACACAGTCGGGATTCTGCCCCAAGCCTGCATATGTCTGAGCTCCCCTGCCTTCTCGAGTCAGTAGCAAGAGCCCCGGCACAGTCTTGTCCCTGCACCTGTATACAGGGCACTCATTCTGCATTTGTGACATGGCCTGAGAACTGGGAGCTGGGCCCTTGCAGGGCTGGGAGCACCATGGGGAGCCTGGAAGTGGGGCTGGTGGTTCCACAGGGATCTCAGTCTTGTGGACCTTCTTTCTGGCAGGAATCACGGGTGGGTGCTGCACTTGCCAGGACCTGGGGGAGCCAGGGGACAGGAGAGACAGTCTGCCAGTCATCAAGCACTCCCCACGCCAGCAAGTGACTCCGGGCCAGTGACTTAACCTCTTTGTACCTCAGATTCCGTATTTGTAAGGTGAGCCAATGACCCTGCTTCACAGCGTTGTTTGTTTTAGACGCCATATGGAAAGTAAGGACTTGGGGACCATCAGCTGTGACAGTGGGTGTCTGTTTGTTGAAGACAACGGACTTGAAATAGAAAAATGTGTGCTCAAATATGACTGCATCCATTCCTGAACGGGCTGCCTTGGGCAAGTAAGTGAATACTTCAGTCTATCTCCACACGGGTAAGATGGGACCGATCTCGCCTCCTTCCCCCAGATCACCGCAGGATACACATGAAAGAACCTGGTCTATAAATGTGTGGCACACCACAACAAATGTGGCAGCCTGTTAGGAACTTAACTGGATCCCATCTCAACCTCATCAAAGCTCTTTACAGCTGTTAGTGTGAGCCCCATTTAACAGATCTTGAAACCGCCATCCGGAGAGGTTAAGAAGATGCCCAAACTCACATCTCAGGTAAGTGACAGGGCTGGGGTCCCGGCCAGACCGACTAAGAGCAGGTAGAGTCTGGACCCAGAGTATCACGAGTGTCCCCAGTGACTTCCTTCCCTTCCTTGAGGCTCACGGTGTGCAAAAAGCTTCCACACTCATTATTTCATGTGATTCTCACAGGGCCTTGCTAGCAAACCGGGCAGGAACCACGATCCCCAGTTAATACGTGAGGAAACTGGGTGCAGGGGACTAGAGAGCATGCCCAAAGCCGCTGAACTGATTGGTGGGCTTGCAGGGACTTATCATAAGCCTCTGATTTTCATTCAAGAGTTCAGGTTGTCCCCACCTGAGCAGGACCCCGGGGCCCTGGTCCCGGTACCACATCACCATGGCAGGAACAAAGGGGGCCACAGCAGGTGGAGACTGGGGGGGGGAGGGATGATGGAGAGGCCAGGGGGGGGAGGAATGAGACCAGAGGGGGCAGCTAGCGGCCCGGTGGGCAGGCACAGGCAGAGGAAGCCTGGAGCAGCTGAGAGCAGCAGGGGGGGGGGGGGGGGGGGGGGGGGGGGGGGGACCTCCTGAGCCTTGCTCAACCTTCTCCCCAATGTTCGCGGTGGGTGTGCGTGCCCTACATGCCACATGCTGGCGCTTGCTGGCTGTAAGAAGAGCCCCTGAGCAGGCAAGCGAGGGTCTAGGCAGGAGACTCCCATGGGTCCCTCTTCTCGGAGTCCAGAGAGAGCTGGGGCATGTAAAATGGGACTAATCTTGGGCTCGGTACCCAAGGGGGTGAGTAGTCCCCGGGCCAGACTCTAAAGCCGCTGACTTTGAGCCTCAGCCCAGCACAAAGTCTGCCCAGGGCTGGGGAGTAGGCGTGTGGGGATTGACAGGGCAATATCCAAGAAAGAGCTGGGGGTCCTGGGAGTCCTGGCCTCCGTAGAGCAAGCCCTCTGGCACCAGAGCCGGGGGGAGGCACGTACAGAGTCTCAGGCCCCGAAGACCAGGGCAAGAGAAGAGGCCTGAGCCCCAGTCCCACAGGAGAGTTGCCATGTGGGGAACGTGAACCCCAGCAGGGACAGCAGGGTGGAAAGACAGCCCCAAGACCCAAGGAAAGCAGCCTCCACAGGGAGGCTGTCCGCTCTACCTCCCTGACTCCGAACCTCAACCCGGACCATCACAGGAGGCTGGGAAGAGGTCTCCAGGGGCCACTGGAATAGAAGATTCCACCGCCATCCTTCTTTACCCATTTCACGGCCTGCCGCCCCACCCTGCTGGAAGTTCTTCCTGCTGTCTAACCTGCGACAGCAGCAACTCATTTCCTTTCCTCAATTCCTGGAGAGCAACTGCTGGCATCCAGCCTCCCTCCTGGTGGCCTGGCCTCACCCTCAGAGCAGATGCCTGGAGTAGGTGGGGGAGAGGGAGAGAGGAGGCTTCTTGCCCAAAGTCCCAAGATACAAGGGCCTGAGCTGGGACCAGAACCGGCCCAATCCTGGCCTTTGCCAGTGAGCAGAAGACCCAGAATGGAACGCAGATGGCCGACTCCAGGCTCTCCCCAGCCCGCACGCAGGGCAGATGGACAGGGCGCAGCCAGAGCGTGGCTGAATCTGGACCGTTTCCCTGGTGGAGCACTGCCAGCCACTCTTCCCTGGCCCTGCCTCTCCCTGCCCTCCTCCCCCTAGGGTGCTCTCTGAGGTGAGCCCCTGGGGTAATACAGTCGTGAGCCCTCACTGTATCACAGACCAGGCTTACACCCCAGGCTGTCGCCGCCACCACCTGCCTGGGCCTCTGCAGTCCCCAGGGGTCCCTACTCACAATAGACCCCTGGGGGTGTCCTGGGGCATGAGGTGGCCTGGCCTGAAGGCCGGCGGAGCAGGGATCCACGGGAAGGCAGCGAGCAACAGGCCAGGGAGAGGGCTGAGAAGAGCAGTGCCCAGCTCTGGGGTTCTTTCCGAGCACTTTCCTGAACAGAAGTCAATAAGAATTATTATTCCCATTTTACAGTCAAGGAAGTAGAAGCCTGAAACATTTGTGTGCTCTCCCCAGAGTCACTTAGGTACCTCTTACAGCAGAATAGGGACTAAAACCCAGGGCCCCTTGCACCTAGTCTGCGGCCCTCTCTTCCACAGCTTCCAGGGGCAGATTCCCCACCCCAGGTATGGTTTCTGGTGGCAGTCTCTGTCCCGTGGGCCCTGACCTGGTGGGGGATGGCAGTGAGTGAACAAGAGCCCGAGCGGTCCCGCCTTTGACCTCTCTGGGTCTCCTGCAGGCCCAGCCGGCAATGCCAGGGAGAAGAGCCTAGGAAAGGGTTCCCTCGAGACCCGAAGAATGTCCACCTGGGCGGCAGGCAGCAATGATAACATGACTTCGTGACCCAAGGCCAGGTCCGTCAGGGCCCGTTCAAGTCCAGCCCGAGCTGGTGGGGCCTCCCTCCTCTGCCCTGGGCCGTCCCTTCATACAGCCTGCATCACCTCACTTGAGAAGGCACTGAAGACCCAGAAAGGCAATGGGATTTGTCTAAGGTTATACAGCCAGTCAGGGGTGAAGCCGGGACCCGAACCCTAACCTTCTGGCTCCCGTTCTTCGGCTGCTACACATCAGTGTGCTTTCCCACCGCCCCTTACCAGGCTCCGATGGGGAAGGACTCCTCACCAGACTGAGGCCCCTGTGAGAGCTTCTCTCTCGCAGTGAGTATCAAGCATGTTCAGAGTGGGAGGCATAGGCAGGCCCCCAGCCTGGGCTAGGCAGGGAGAGATGCCCCCAGTCCCTACGGGAGGCACTAAAAGGTACAAGGAAGCTAAAAGGCCCCCTGGCCTGTTGGGAGGCTGGGGAGCCCCTGGGCCACGGTGGGGGGAGGCCTGAACCCATTCTACTGTGGACTGGACTGGACTGAACTGGTCTCCAAGGAACCGGTCTGAACTGGGACGGAGTGGATCATGCTTCTTCCCCATCCTTACTGCTCAACCCAGGCTTCGTTGTTCCTCCAGGTACACAGGGCTCCGTCCCACTGCCCCCTCTCCCTGAACCCGGAGACCCACTGCCCCCTCTCCCTGAACCCGGAGAAATCCCACAAATACAGGCTCCCCTCAGAGCACAGGCAGATTCGCCAGCACCTCCTTCCAAACTGGGGAACCCCTGGCATCACACTGGGCTTCAGACTAAGAAGCCGAGTGAAGGCGTCCCTTGTCCCAGGCCTGGAAGACCCAGGGGAGGCTTGCTCTGTTTCCATATCCACATGACCTAAAGGACAGCGGCATCCCTCTCGGAGTCTCAGCTCCCGATCTAGCAAACGAAGGGAGCAGACGATCAGCTGTTTTCAAGCAGTGTTCCCGGAGCATTAGAGGTTCCGTGGAGATGTCTCAGTGACCATTGTAGCAGGGAAAGGGCTTGGGGTCCTTCACCCCACTTCAAACAGAGGAGACCCACTTTGCAGTTTGTACAATGGGCCCCACATACGATTTCATTTGAACCAAAGAGGCTGCGGCTACCAAGAACTTGAAAATGACCGGCCTGGGTGAGCATTAAAGTGCCTTCTAATTTACGGTGCCTCATGAAAAAGCCTCGGGGATCCCCGTTAGACCAGAATCAAAACACCTTCTTGTCCATTCATCAGTTTATTCATTCATGCATGTGTTCATTCATCAAGACTTTAAAGAACATCAAGGGCCTGTTACTGCCAAGCAACTAATATTTGATTGCCCAGGGGCTGGCGGCCTCAGTTTCCCCCCCTTTCCCTCCCACGCCAATGCTGGGGTGGTGACACAGTTCAGGGCTGGTACTTAACGGAGGCTCTCCGATGGTCCTATCAGAGGAGGCACACTCCACATGGTCCTGCCAAGGTCCTGCCAAAGCCCCGGGTTCCCTCTGCCGGCTTCCCTCACCCCTCCCTGCAGCACCCTGCCTGCCTGGCCGGGCACAGTCCACCCCGCTGTTGCTGTACCAAGAGGAAGCTGTTTTGCCAAAACAACACACTTAAGCTAAGTGGCTATTGTTACATCAGTCGGCCTTCCCGCCCAGCACCCCAACCTGCAGCCCCATACACACACTCCCACACATTCTCGTTCACATTTGCCAAGTCACAGGGACAATGCGGGGGCGGGGGGGGGAGGGGCAGGTGGGACAGGCCAGGTGAAAGGCTGCTCAGCACCAATGATAACATGGAACACAGAGGTCTCTGGGGAGGGCAGCATGCCTAGAAGGGCAAAGAGCAGGTGCCAAGGGTCCGGGGGGAGCCTGCACTATGGGGTTGATGGCACGGTGACCGGAGCCTATTGGCCTTCCGTCTTAGGAGCCTGCCCAGCCCCCTGAGGGGAGGGTGCCTCATCCTGGACCCGACCTGGGACCACCAGCTGCTCTCAAGTCCACAGCATCTGTGGTCTTGGACTGATTGCCTGAGAACCTGGTCTATTTGAAGAAGACCCGTCTACACTGTCTTATTGTTTTATCAATGGGTCCATTCGGTTTTCTATAATAAGCATTGCACTTCTGTAAGCATGAAGAATGTGACACCTTTTGGAAAAAAACCACAAAACACACACTATTGTTCAAGAACAAATGCACATATCCAGTGTGGTGCACCTCCGACCCCATTCTGTATAATTCCAAAGACCGTCACGGAGCCAGAAAGGGGCCAGAGGGAGCGGGGGGAAGCATTTGTCCAACCCTTTTCTTTGGTAGGTGGAAAACCTGAGGCACGGAGAAGAGATATTTGTACACGTTGTTAGGGGAGTCAGGACTAGCCCCTAGAGGATGATGATACCGAGGAGGAAGCGCCTCCTCTGAAGACAGAGAGGCTGTGAGCCTTCTCTACCTCCTGTCCAAGGTCCCCCTGAAGACCCAACCGACATGCACAGGAACTTCATCAGGCTCACGTCCGTTGCCCATCATCTGCCTCACTACTTTAAGGAGCTGAAGGACAAAAGCCACAACGCCCATCTCCCTGCGGTGAAGCCCTCCGAGAGAAGGCATGGACTTAGCCAACCAGTTTCTCCCAGTCTGCTCCTATTCAACTAATCGATCTGAAATAATCTGCGGCAGGTAAGATTAAGAGCCCCCGGGAGCTCTCCCTGCTCCCCACCTCAATGTCACTATCTTGGAGGTTCTACCCTAAACAAGGGGGTGACTTTAAGCACCTTAAATGAGGGAAGAGTGGTCCAATTCTTTCATTCCAAAGTAAGCTAGGACAGGCTCCCACAATGAACAGGGCACCTACAACACCTCTTAACACCTCTTCCATCAGGAAGGAAAAGTCTGTTCTCGCCACTGTGCCCCTCCAGTGACCTTCCATGTTGGTCCCTACCTCTGGAAAGATGAGCGTCATAAGCAGAGGTCACCTCTATGACCCTGCCCGGGGACTGGCCCTACCCTCCTTCAGACAAATCAGCCCTTCTCATCCTCTGTATTTAGGGATCATCAAGGGCAGGCTCCCAGAAAGTCACCAACAAACATGCCCCATGGCTGTAACTGTGGGTTCACCTTCCCCACACCTCAGACAAAACTCCATTCTGCCCTATGCGTTGCCCTTACTGCTCACAAGAGGCTCCAGTGACCCGAGACGCCTGGGACCCAGTGACCTTGGTGAGGTGGAGACAGGAACCAAGGAGAACAGTGCAGAAGTCAAAAGGGAAGCACGGGAAAGAAAAGTCAAGAGGGGGCTGGAAGAATGGCGGAAAAGGTGACAGTGAAAGTTGCAGAAACGTATCTTGGGTTCAGAATGGCCCACAAGTCAACTCTAAGCCAGAATGTAGGCTGAGCTGATCCTTCTCAAACCCAGAGCTGCCCCATCCTTCCCAGAGTCTCCGATTCTACGTCGGTAGAAGAGGATGTCGGTAAAGAAAAAAAGAAGGTGGAGAGGAGGAGAAAGCAAGACCTAAGGAGAAATTACAGCACAAGAAGTACGTCCCTCGAGGAAAGAGAGCTGAGGCACAGTGGAACAAAATCTCCGGACGCCTTCACGTGTATATAACTGGCTTTTCCACAGACGACATTCTAGCCGCTCTCTACCACCAACAAGAACAGAAGAAGAGGTAAGGAACCTGCGTTGTAGCAGAAGGAATTATGGTTAGACATAAGGAAGCCCTTTCCAAGCATGGATGTTATGAAGCCTGAAAGTAACCAAAGGATAATGACAAGTCTCCTTGAAGGTCCCAAATACTCAGAGAAAGTCACTTTTTCTAGGATGGCTTAGGAGTCTAGTGAGGGGGTTGGCCAGGATAACGCTGAAATCCAGTTAGAAGGCCAAGGTTCAGTGATTTCTCAAACCAGCAAAAGTGATGATCTAACAGCATTAATGCCCTGGCCAGGGTGCTCCCAGGACACAGAGCAGGAGCCCAAACTTCAGGCACAGCCCGGTGGTGCTTCCTGAGCAGATCCCAAATCCCGTCTGCTCCTCCCAGGGGCCCCTCCTAGAAACCAGGATAGAAGGAGGCCAAACAGTCTCAATCCCAAGTAGCTTCAAATGAGGAAAACCACACTCAATCTGCCCCCAAACCAGAGGCATACAGGTGGCGCCCCACCTACCTCCCAGCCCTGTCCCTGCTTCCTCACCGCCGGGAAGTTCTGGCCCAAGGCCCGGGGACACTCACCCGGCTGCCGTCCCTTTCCATCGTCTCCTGAGGGGTGAGGCTTCCAGATTCAGCTGATGTCCACAGGGAGATCCATGTTGGCCCCTGGCTTCCCCGGCATGTGGGCAAAGGGGGCTGGCAGGCTGAGGGCCAGCCCCCACCAGATGGGGCGGGGAAGCGGGTTGGGACCTGTGAGGTAATCTCAAGTATAAACAACACCACAGAACTGGCCAGACCTGTCCCTCTCCCCTCCTCCGAGGCCATCCCAGTTACTCAGTGAATACCAAATACCAAATTCCAGGAGTGTGAAGCTGGCTTTACCTCTGAAACTTCCCCCACAGAGTCAGCTATGAGGAAACAAGGGGTTCCAGGATGCTTCTTTCAGAGGGGGATTCTGAGAGAAAAGGTCCAGGCCCTGTGAAGACTGTCTTAGTCCTGTCAACCTGAGCCCCTAAAACAGATGCTCCCGGGCCCTCTGAGGTGTATGACCCTGTTCCTGTAGGGAACGTCCAAGGCCAGGGACCAGAGCCCCACCCAGGGCAGGACAGTGTCAACCTTCACCTCCAAGGACCATGTGTCCAAAACCCCAAATCAAGGCACCCGGTGCGGCAAAATTTTCATTTGCCGAACTTTTTCTCCGTGAAAACTCTTACCAAAGAAGTTAAAATCAAATGGCTTCTAATTATGCACATAATGAATCGCCTCTATTGAACACAATAAAACGTTATGAAACAGCACGTCAAAAGCCAATTAAAATAAAACATAGAAGTATCTGAATGGAAACCGTTCTAAGAAGTAGTGAGCTGACTCACGGTCTCCCAGCTGCGCCCCGTGCTGATCTGTCAAAAGAAACAGAGGAAGAGCTGCCTCCCAAGGGGTGCTCAGCACCCCCAAGCCCAGCAGAGCTGCTACTGAGAAGTTTCAGGTAGGCTTTGGGAAGAACTTCCGTGGCTGAGCATCTGGGGGCACGAAGGTCCTGGAACTGCAGACTTTTTACAGACTGAAGGAAGCCCAGGGACCATCCAGTGATTCGAGCTGCTGGTTTTACAGATGGAGAGACAGCCAGAGAGGCTGAGGGATCTGCACAACTCCCATCTAACAAACAGCAGCGGCAATAATAATAAGGTGCTGGCGACCCTGCCGAATGCTTTACATACAGTAACGTGGGTAATGCATCTTTACAACAATGCGACTCACCCATCCGCCACTCGGTTACCCGACAAACATTTCGGTGCCTCCTAGGAGCCTGGCACTGCGCTGGGGGCTGCGGACGTGGAGAACAGAGCGGGCAAATACCCCGCGCCATGGCACTAGTATGGGGATAAAAATAAACAAACAGATAAATGATGATGATAGGTAGATAGATAGATTATAGACAAACAGATATCTATGGTAGATAGATAGTAGATAGATAATAGATGAATAGACAGACAGACAGACAGATAGGTGATAGAACAGTATATAAGAAAGTGAGAAGTGTCACTAGGTATTTATCCAAGGGATACGGGTGTGCTGTTTCAAAAGGGCACGTGCTCCCCAATGTTTATAGGAGCACTATCGACAATAGCCAAAGTATGGAAAGAGCCCAAGTGTCCATCGACAGATATATGAATGTATGTATATGTATATGTGTGTGTATATATATATATATACATATATATATACACACACATATATGTACATATATATATACATATATATGTGTGTAATATATACACACACACACATATACATACACATATAATGGAATATTATTTGGCAGTCAAAAGAATGAAATCTTGCCATTTGCAACTACGTGGATGGAACTGGAGGGTATTATGCTAGGCGAAATTAGAGAAAAACAAACCTCCTATGATTTCACTCATATGTGGAATTTAAGATACAAAACTGATGAACGTAAGGG